TATAACTTTTGATATTCGCGCTTTAACCTTCTATTGAACTTTAGGTTTCACTGATAAATTCAACACCGCAAATTTCGCTTATTTGAAACAGTTTTCCTAATTTGGGTCCTTTTATATCTTTCTTCCTTGCCAAATGACCGATTCCGTAATAATACGCATATATTTCTTTATTTATGTACAATGAATAAATAAGAGCACGATTTAAGCCGAACATTCACACATACACACACACCTCAAGACTGTTTCACCGAACCCCGAGTCTAGCGAACTTTCTCACTCTAACGTACTTTCATTTGGGCATCATGCTTGGGGTTAACATAGAGGTTTGATCGGCTTACAGACATGCAGGTTTGATCGAGTTCGCACGTATACACACAAGTTAACATAAACGTATCTAGCAAGCAGCTGGTGCCACATATTCTCTCAAAAAAATTAAAGCTTTTGTACACGCCCTTTCATTTGATATCTCATTTTGTAATCCAACGAACCGTGAAAATCGTTTAACTTTTTATTAGGTGGCAACCCTACCTACTACTCTTTGTTTGACAGCGACAGTAGAAACTGATTCCTATGCTCAGTATGTTAGTAGTTAGTGTTTTTCTAGAGGCCAATCCATTTCACTTGACGCCTCATCTTTTGTAATCCAACGAATGGTGCGGATCTTATAGTTTCTTATATAGAAATAAAAAAGGTCACTCCTATCGATACAGAGTATATGTATTAGAGAAAATCTTGTCAAAAGCCGTTCAGTAGTTTTCGAAATTACCACGTACAAAGAATCTCGACTTTCCTTTATACTATGTATAGATTTATTATTTTTTTCCACGACAATTTTTCAATTAAAACGGCCTCAAGCTCAATAAAACTTGTTTAATAACGTATAATAGTTACGTCTACTGATTTATTCTCGTTTTAAGTCTAAATATTTTAATAATTTCTTTGCAGTATTTTGTTTCATCATGAAGAGAGGAAACATTGATTTAAGTAACGAACTGCCCATAAACGTTATTTCGAGTGTAATGAACTGCATATCATCATCGAATAATTTTCGCTGGTCACCTGAAAGTAACGATAATTTATCTACACCATATAGAGGAATCATGAGCAGCAAACAAATAATTAGTCCTGAAATACTTTCTTTGGCTCCTCCGCTGATGGACTTTGAAGATGAACTGATTTGGTTTGATAATGTAGGGAAGCGCAATGATAACATATTTTATGATAACTCCAATTGTATTGATGAATACTCTAAACAACTTGTATCTATGGCTTTCCATCAGCCCTTGACACCGCACGAACAAAAAACTTTGTTGGAAGAGGTCTCGAAGCACAGGAATTTTGTATATCAAATAGGATTAACTCCATCAAAGGTATATCACATCCTTATTTGTATGTATATGTATTTATATTAAGTCTATTCATCCAAACGTGTAAAGCAGAATTACTGGGCTGCCACAATACATGTTTGACTTTGATACCAAAACCAATATAACACCAACTAGTAATAATCCCCGAAAATCGGGGTGCTCGTGGTCTAAAAATCTGGATATTTTTTTATTCTAAAAAACACGTGCATTGCTTTTGGTATTTATCTTTAACTTTGGTATTTTGCCAAGATCATATTTACGGACGCTACAATAATTTTGAATTGGCGACGTTTAAATACAAACGGAAGTGTTGATTCACTGGACTATGGATGTTGCGAATGTGGAATTTTAGACATCCGCGGATACGAATGCCGATGCGGATGTCAAGTATTTTTACAACGCTTTTATCAACTTGCAATGTTGTGTGTCCAGAGACCATTCATTGCTATAAAACTGGTGTTCTGAACTAAAATTTCTGTGCCTAATAATAGCACGGCATGATGAGAGATTTGTAGAGCGTGACTTTCGTTCGTCGAGAGAGGCCTCTGCTTTTCAATTGCCTACCGAGCCCAAAGTATTCTTCGCTTGATCTCCAGGCTGACGTTGTTGGTGGTGTTTATGCGGGATCCTAGGTAGACAAAGTCCTTCACTACTTCAATGTTATATCTGCAAACAATGATTTGTGTCCCGAAACGCGTGGACTTTATATGTTGCCAGGAGGTACTTTGTCTTGCCCTCGTTCACCGCTAGACTAACCTCCTTAGCTTCTTTTTCTAAACTGGAAAATGCTGCGGTTACGTCCCTTTGTCTCAGTCCCACGATATCGATATCATCTGCAAACGCCAGCAGCATCGTTCTTTTGATATATAAATATGGTGCCACTGCGATTCAGATTGGCAGCTTGGCAGCCATACATACAATGGTCAAACAATTATAGCCAAACCACTTTTTGCCAAGTTTTAACGCATTATTTTTGTTGTTATTGAACTTTTGTTATTTTTTTTATAAAAATATAGTTCATTCTTTAACAAAATCCGTGTAAATCAAAGTTTCCAAATTTGTGTAACATTAAAAAAAATCAACAAACTTTCGTACAAATTTCGAACATTTTAAAAATTCTAAAAAATCAATAGACATTTTTAGCCATTTGAAACTTGTACTTTATTCTACTAGAATTCAAAGAGCTATAGAACTGCATTCTTAGAATTTAATTAAAAACTCGAAATTTTAACGAAAATTTGTATTTTTTTTTTTAATTGCATAAATATGTAAGGCAGTGTCACTCAATTGGTACATTTGTACAGATTTGTACATTTTTATACTGGGCTGGTGGTAAAAAAAATGATACTTTTTTTTTGTAGTCAAAAGATTGGTACAATACAGCGATGTTCTATTGAAAAATTTCAACAAATTAATTTTTGTGATTGGGATAAAGAACTATACTTTGGGTGTTTACACAATTGGGATACTATTTGCACCAAATACCCAATCGTGTGACACTGCCTTTAAACTTGTATTTTTACGGATGTTTTTAAAGAATTAACTATAAAAAACCTACCGAAGTTAAATAACGGCAAAACTAAGATTTAAAGCTTGTGAAGATTTGGTGCTGCTATAATTTGTTCGACTACTGTACATAAGTTGACTATGCCCTGTAGGGAAAATCTCTAGTTCCGAACTGGTGCGCTTTACATTTAGACCCAGAACTGGGGCTCTATTCTGTAACTGTGAGTTTTCAAGTGTACACTGAAAATTGTTCGCACTCTTCATTTTGCGATTCAGGAAGAGAATGAGTTGCATCTCTTTTTCGATAGTTCCGAACTAGTCCTAAATTCTTTAGTTCCGAACCGGTTCTAAAATCGACAGACGAAAGAAAAAAGTATCATGATTTCTCAACCTTTACGGTTTTTCCGTGTGCGATTTTAAGTTATTTCGAAAGAAATTTGTTTTCAATTTGAAATTAAATTTGTTTGAATGATTGTAAGAAATATACGTTTACATACCTTTGGCTGTAACTGACTTTGAAGAGGTGCTCGCTGTTATTGGTTAGATTCCAGACGGTCCCAAGATGTTAAAATGTTAACACTAACTTTTGTTTTGTATTACCAAACTATGAAAAAGCATCTGCGAAGTGCAGAATGAAAGTGCATTTGAACGAAAAAGCCGCCAAACACATATATATGTAAAGTAAACCAGCCCCCGCTGCAACCCTTTTTCGATAGTTCCGAACTAGTTCTAAATTCGACATATAAGATCTAGTTCGTACTGCATCCTTTTGTCTATAATTCCGAATCAGTTCTAAATTTGTCACTTTAGATATAGATTACTAATGAAAAAAGTGAAATAAAATAGTTTTTTTAAGAGTACCACCTTTCGCTGATTTTGAACTGGTGGGCATATAGTAACTATCGGACTGGTTCGTTTTTGGCGATAAAGATCTTGTACGGAACTAGAAATTTAATTCACTAGTTGTTTGTTTGTGTGAAGTAATATTCCACAAACAAAATACATGAGGAACAAGTAAGAAAGTCTAAGTTCGGGCGGAGTCGAACATTAATTACCCGGCGCAAGAATTAAATATATGTTTTTTCACCTTTCCGAAACCTACCGCTAGATGGTAAGCCGGGGTGTATCAATTTTGAGTAAATTAGCGTTTTTAAATTTCGAAACATATATTGAAGTGTCAAGCATTTCTGAAATTTACCGATATATGAAAAGCGGCCGTAATTTTAGTCCGATTTCAATAATTTTCAACGTTTTGCTTTTATGTGGCAAGCACAATAACCATACCGAGTTTGGTACAAATTAGTAGAACGGTTACCGAGATACATATATCTGTTCATAAGTGGGCGGTGCCACGCCCAGTTTCCAAAATTTTACCATAAACGTATTTCTTGGTAAAGAATTGTTGCAAGCATCGATTTTGAATAAATTAGCTTTAATATTTACTGATTTATCGGAGATTTTGTATTTCTCTAAATTACCGTTATATGGGATGTCGGCGTGGTTATTGTCCGATTTTCGGCCATTTAGTATGCTGTACCAAGGCCAACAACTGTGCCAAGTTTGGAAGAAATTGGTGCAGCGGTTACCAAGATATACACATGTAACCATAAGTGAACGTGGCTACGCCCATTTTCCAAAAATTTATTTTATTCTTATTTTTCGTCTGAAAATTATTGTAAATATCAATTTTGAGCGAATTATCTTCAGTAGTTACTAAAATACCGCAGTTTTCGTATTTCTGAAAAATACTGTTATATGTTTACAGTCCGATTTCGCCCATTTTCAATACCAACGGAAACCTACACACCAAATTTCGTTGAGATATCTCAATTTTTGCTCGAGTTATCGTCTACACGGACGGACGGACAGACAGATATGGCTTAATCGACTTCTCTATTCATTCTGAGCATTTATGTATACATTTGTTTATATCTATCTCGATTCGTTTTGGCTGTTACAAACAACCATTATGTGAACAAAATTAATATACCCTTGTGCACAAGTGCGCTCGGGTATAAAAATTACCGAACACCAAGTTACTGAGTACAAATTTGTATGCTCAGAATTTAAAATTCAGTACAAATCAGTACAAATTTAAAAAAATCAGGACATTAGCGTACTGATTGAAGAAATGAATAAAATCGGTACGAGAGCTGAAAAATCAGTACTGTACTGATAAAATCAAATATCGGATGTATCCTCCTGACTTTCATGTTCACTTGAAGAACGTGTCATCATGGCAAGATCGTTGTTTAAACACCCCTTACAAGCCAAACGAGATGTGTTAGGTTTTTCTAAAGCTTTTTTTCTTCATTCTCATTCTTTTGGCTGTTTTATAATTTGGAGAACCTGTAGCGTCATCAGCGTTTTCCGATTCTAGTTTTTGTAATTCATTTTTAACACTCTCTTCTGTGACTGGTTTGAAAAATTCGTGCTTATAGAGAGGTTCTAATAGGTGGATATGGTAAATAAATTGTTATTTTCCAGGAATGAAAATTTCGATCCAAATTCTGTTTTCAATCTCGATGATGCCATCGGATCAGAGTCTTTTTAAATTGGTAAAAAGGCACCCCGTTTTTTATAAGCATTTGAAGTATTAGAATCATGGATTATGAAGGTCTCCGAGCTGCTTAGTTCCCGGGCAGCTTCTTGAAAAGGTTCACCTATAATGAATAGCTTGTAATTAGTTTTCTTTTTTGGTGAGCTCAACTTTTCTTAGTTGCAAGCAGTTCCAATTAATTACTCACCGCTGCACAGTGCTTCCCTTCCATATAAAATGTGGGCAAAAATAGAATTATGGACGGATTTAAATGAAAATTCGCTTCTAAGTAAAATTGAGAACGCTAAATTCAAAAATGCAATTGGTTTTTGGATAACTTTCATACTTTCACTGTAAATGCAGTTTGAAGTTGAAAATTTGGGTTCTTGTGGCTTTTACATAGGTATGTACATATAGTTCGTTCTATTTTCAAAACTGAGGTGTCAAATGACAGGGCTTGGCCTGTAGATATGCACTAAAGTTTTTCATTTTATTAAAATTATTTAACAGAATAAATGAATTAGATATTACAATATGGGTATCAATTGAACTAGTTTTGAAAATACTTTACCTCTAAATGACACGTAGAAGGGGTGCCACATGTTTTAGAAATCAAATTCTCTTTAATTAAGGGAATAAGATAACTGAAATATGTATATAAATATGAGTATCAGACAAATGAAAAAATTTTACATATTTAGCAAGTTAGTTTAAAAGTCCAGTAATTTAAAAGGAATGTAATCAGAACAAATCACTAATCGACAATGTATGCATTTGTAATAAAACAACAATTACGATGGCGTAATCCTATGGTTTGACGTAATTATTATTTTAGTTTAACTAAATTCGACTTTACAAACAGGTTGCAACCGTATTCGTAATATTTTTAAGTTAAAACCTTGTTAAACCTCTTTCGTCTGACTCCTTTATGGTGATGCCTATCTATTTCAATTACCTT